AGCAGGAGTGGCGGCCAGACGACAGCTGGAGGCTGCCAGGAGGACAAGAAGACACACAACGCTGGCGTGCAAAAGGACAAAAGGAGGAACCAGCGTTTGCAAGCGCGGCCAAAGGACAGCAGGACAGGAGCACGGCCCGGCCGGAGACCGTGGCCAATGTTTTTCCTCAGGGAGAACACCAAAGGCAAAGTGTTTAGGGAAAAGTTTGCGTCGTTGGCTTTTTGAGCGAGACTGAAAAGTTTTTTGAGCGATTCGATACGGCAGCTACTCATACCGCGTGTTCAATTGATGATTCTATTTCATTTTCAACTTAATCGTCCAGGGCGTGCCTTGCCCGGCCTTGTCCAAGCCTTGTCGGGGTCTATAATGCATCCTGCGGGCCGCCCCACCTTACCAGGCTTTGCCCGGACGCCTTCTCTGCCTTGTCTGGGCCTTGCGGTCTGCGAATTGGCCTTGTCTCAACCTTGCCCCCTGCTTGGCCGCGCCTTTTTGTTCTTCTCCACAACATGTGAAACTCAAGGAATTGACGCAAAAGGATCACCCTGAAACTGTTTGGGGTCTATGCTGGTATATAACTCAATGTTGAAAAGCATGCCGTGACACGTGCGCACAAGAATGGCCCGAACAAAGTGAATCTTCCGTTTCCGCTTCAGGGCAAGCAAGTAGGGCAGGTGGGAGCTAAATTGCAACTCGACCCCACCAGCTTAGCTGGCAAGAACTGTCGCTGTTTTGGGTGGCCTCAGCCCCTGCCTCGGAAAGCAACGTAAGCAGCAGGACAGCAGCAGGAACAACAAAGGACAAAAGGATGAAGGAAGGAAAACAAGACAAACACACCAAGAGGACAAAAGAAGGACAAGCTGTGACTGGACAATGCCAGAAGGGCAACAGGACAACATGAGGGGAGCGCGCCGAAAGGAAAACAAGACAAGAAGAAGAAAGGACGAGAGAATCCCGCAAGAAGAGGCCAACAGGAGGACAAGGAGGGGGCAGCTTCTGGCGCATCCCCGCGCGATTGGTTTTGCTGCGGCCTTATCCCCACTTCCCATTGTTAGCGGAGCGCTGGCCCAAGTTTTCTTGAAAGCTTCCTAGGCTAAGCTGTTGCCCCAGATTTGCACCAGTTATATAGTTGGGTGAAATACCAGGGCGTGTAGGTTCCTGAGCCGTATCTTCGCGGAAGACGACAGCTGCCGTCGCGTGGCATGGAGGGCTATTTCCAACAGCCCCGTCGCCCACCCAGGATAGCAACAAGAGCAAACAGAACAGAATTTAAAGACGACAAGACCCCCTTGATGGCCCGAAAGGTTTAAAAAGCAAAGCGCGCGCAAAAATAGCGCGCCGGCCCACCAGCGCCAGCATTTCCCTACACGTTTGTTTGGGCCCTCGGCGCGCCGGATCCTACGAGAGGGTTCACCCGAGAACCCTCCAGAACCGACAAAATAGCTGTCGCTACACGTTTGGGGACGCGACGCGCCGGATCCTGCGAGAGGGTTTGCCCGGAACTGACAAAACTCGCATTTCGCTACATGTTTGGACACTCGACACGCCGGATGCCAAGAGGGTTCCGCGCCGACCAAGGCGATTCGCATTTCGCTACACGTTTGGGCGCTCGACAGGCCGGATCCTGCGGGAGGGTTGCTTCGGACAGTCTCTCGCTTGGTCCGCCCTGGCTTCAAAGAAGCAGAGTTGAAAGATTCGAGACGTTCAGACAAAAACTTTGTCAAATCTCTTGCAAGCACGAAAACTTGGTCAAGTCGAGGAAAGCGCAAGTGCAACATTCTCAAACGCTAAAGCCTGCGCAAAAGGCTCTTACAAGTCTTACAAGTGCGACAGCCTTAGCAAAACTCTGAAAAAAGGCTAAAGATTGCTAAAGCCTGTGCAAGACTCTTGCAAGTGCTAAAGCCTGTGCGAGATTGCGCGGGACTCTTGAGCCTGCGCCTGATTCTAACCTGAGAAGCTGCAAAACGAAAGCCAGCGCTTCCCTTTCTCGGACACTTGCTTTTCAGGCATTAACACCATGTGATTTCTGAGATCATGATATCCTATAAGCTTCCTTTTTCATTGTCTCGAGTCGAAAAGGTTGTTGTGCAACTGTCAGGCAAGCCTGGGAGTGGGACGCCCTCTTGAAAATGAACTCGCGCAGCCGCTTGCGGCCGCGTGTCAAATCTGCTTCATGTCTTGTTCTGCCCACACATAGGTAACCATGCAAAAGCAAAAAATGCACTCTTGCATCACCGCCCGCTCCAAAATCACTAAAACATCACCTCCAAGAGTTTACGTATACCTTTCTCGGGCCACCCCCGCGACCCCCGACCTACTAACGTCGTTCGCCAAGCACAGCTCAGCTTTGAGGTGGCCTGAACATAGTGTTTGAGGGCGGCAAACCCCAGGCCCCAGGCCACCTTGCATTTAGCTTCATAAAGATTCACGCGCGCGGACCCAACAACGACTTGCGTTTAGCTCGATAAACGTTCGCGCACACCCCCCCCCATCGACCTTGTTGTAGCAGGTCTTTTTAGGAGCGGCCTTATCCAGGTATCCTTTGAATCTGTTCTTCATTTTTGAAGTGCCTGAACAATGGTTTTAGGGCAGCAAACGCCTGGCCCCAGGCCACCTTGAAGTTCGTTTGAAAAAAACATTCTGTTCACACATAGATAATTCCCATCCACATTCAGATGAAGCAAAAGCCAAAAAATGCACATTGACCTACATTGACCTTGCACCTGGTTGAACATACGATTGGTTGTCATATGATTGGAAGTGCATTCGTTCAAGTAGAAAGTTTTTAGAGCAAAATTCGAGGTGGCCTGGGACCAGAGGCTCGCTGCCCGAAACTATATGTTCAGGCCACCTCAAAAATGAGGATATGCGAAGCAAGGGTCCTGAGGTGTCTCTGTGACAAGGCTTTTGTTAAAACAAACAGTTTTTCAAGCTAAATTCAAGGTGGCCTGAGACCAGGGTGTGCTGCCCTAAAACACTCTGTTCAGGCCTCCTTAAAAATGAAGGTCTGCGAAGCGAGAGCAAAGGATGCACATTGTTCTTCTGCTGCTTGAATGCGGCCTTTTGTTTACTTAAAAGTTCAAGACCTCCCAGCTGTTTCCACCTCTTCGCTTCCCAGTCTTCCCAGGGTTTATATAGGGAGCCAAGCCATTTTCAGAATCTTCTGGATTTGAGCTGTTCGAGTTCCTATTGAAGGGTATATGTTCTAGTTGGCGAGTGCGTCACCACCCGCTCCAAAAGCATCAAAGCATCACCTCCCAGAGTTTACGTATATCTTTCTCGAGCCACACATGCACAGCAAACCACAGCTTTGAAGTCTCATTCGTGCTTTGAACTTGTATAGGTGTGTAAGAGGTATAGCAGCCTAGCATTTATACGGACCCAGGGTAGCTACAATTCTGTTCCCAGGTATCGCGCGCATGAGGCTTCAAAGCTGTGGATTGCTGTGCGTGTGTAGAGGTTATCGAGCGGTTGACGGAAAGGGAACTTGAAGTACTATACCTGGTAGCTGCACTATAGCTACCCTGAGTATCTATACCTGGCAAGGTGCCAACTACACCTTTCCATTCAGATGATGCAAATGATGCAAATTGCATTTCTTGCATCACCACCCCTCAAAAATCACCTCCAACACAACCTCAAAAAACCTTCCCTCGATGCACCCTCCTCCCCCAGCATGTGCCGAGTTTACGTGTACCTTTTGCGGGCCACCCCCCCCAGACCCCCTAACTACTCACTTCGTTCGCCAAGCACAACTCAGCTGGCGCCTTCTACGAAGGCTGGCTTTCGTAACAAGCGCTTGAATACAAGTGCTTAGAGCCTGAACTAGACTCTTGCAAATGAAGTCCTGGATGTGTCAGACCACGTTTCGGCACTGAACACGCTGGATCCTGAGAGAGGGTTCCGCCAGCGCCGGCAAGGTTCGCGTTTCCCTACACGTTTGGCGCTCGGCGTGCTGGATCCTACAAGAGGGTCGCGCAAGCATGGTCAAAATTCGCATTCCCCTACACGTTTGGACACTGCGCAGTCAGAGGGCTGAGAAGCAGGCCATGATGTCTGTACGCTGGCCGCGCAAGCACGGCCATTTCTTAAAGGACCAGCGGCCCAGTCCGAAGAAGAGAGAACGCCAGACCGCGGCTTCAAGGCGCGTTCCGAGCACCTTGAGCGTCGTGATGGTGAGCCAAGAAAGAAACACCAAGCCCGTTCCAGTCGATCTTGCCACAGAGTTCTCACTTGATGGCTCTCAACACTGCATCCAGTGTCCTACCGGTTGGCTTGGGGAAAGCATGGAAAAACGATTAGCGGAAAGCCCGGAAGCGGCTTGGTGACTGAACCGCTCCTTTGACAAGAATCTGGCGCCGTGTTCCGACTAAAGACACTCTTGCCTGCTGAACTGCCTGTGGCTGTTCAACAAAACAGGCTTCCCTTTTTGCAGTGTCCTAGTGGGCCCGCGCACGCTTTGCAGAAAATCATTAACAAACGCGTTGGGTATGCACTCCCGCTTCCGCCGTTGATGGACACAATCACTGAATCACGCTGCTGGAGCATCATGATGACTGATGACTGTCTTGGTTGAAGTCCGCGTGCAAAAATTCGTGATCGCAGGCTCACGTGCCATGGGGGCTCGCAATTCTCGACGTTTTGCTGCCTGGCCGAACCAGGAGTCGCCTGCAGCAGGCTGGCTGCGCTTGTACGACAACACACAGCCTGAACCCCACGAGGCTTTGCCTGAGTCGGAATTGCAGCGCAACAGCCAGAAAGGAAAGGGTCGCGCAACCAACAAACACCAAAGTCAGTCATGACCGTGCGCAACGCATCACCACGCTGTGCACTTGTCATATTCGCAAAACATCGGAACAGCTTTCTGTAGTTGTCGAAGGTTGTGTCCTTACCTTCCGGCCCCGCGCGACATACATCGACATACCTTATAGGTATGACTGTCAAGCCTGGAAAGCTGGGCTTGGGAAATTAGCGCGTGATTTCAGCAAGTTGAGCCGAGGTTCGCGAGATTCCTTCAAGCCCATGCCGCCAATGATCCTAGCGTCACAATGGACATGCTGGACAACCCAATTCCCTTTCCAAAGCAAAGTCAAAGTCGAAGTGCATCAAATCCTCACCTCTGCACCAGCTTGGTGAAATATGGTGAAATGATGTAGTACTAACTTAACATCTTTTAACTAGTTATCTGATGATAATACCTGATTACCTCTCGATTTTCATTGAAAATTCTTGAACCACTTGATCGCAACCCAGTCATGAGGACGGCGCCCATGGCAATCGAGGCAGTTTTCTCTGCCAACTGCCCTATATGACCTCCACTTTGACAGGATTGGAGGATGTGGCAAGACTGAGTCGACTGGCTAAGAAGCAAAAGGCTGATCCTTGGCAAGGCGAAAAGGCATCTGCCAAACACGCACGCCTTCACGATTTGAACTTAAGGCTAGGGTCAACATGAATTATGTTTTGGCCGTGCGAATCAAGCCAAGTTCCCCAAAAGCACTTGTCCAAGCACGTGGCCAAAACCCCAGAAAACACCTGGAATCTGCAAGAACTATGTGAAGAAATCTGAAGCATGTGCAAATATTGCGAGGCAACCTTTGGAGTACGGTTTCGCAAACCGAATCGAACCGCTTTTTCGAACGATGTCAGGAACATCAACATAGCTTGAGCTGTTGCCAGCCGGCGCCTGTGCGGAAAGCTTTTCCAGGGCCGGAAGTACGCAAAGCCAGGGGAGCCAAAGCTGCGAGATGATCTGGGCCCGACAGCGTGTGAAATGCCCCAGCTCCTGCAGATCCAAACGGTTGTTTGATTCTCATTCACTGCTTGTTATGGATAATAACTGTTGATATAACATACATTTAATGAAATATACATATTCAAAAAATACATGTGAAAACAGCAACGAGACTGTGGCTATATATACTCTAACTTGCGCTCTGTCGTTTGCGTGCGCTTCATGACCTGACCTGGCCCTTCCACGTACGATTGCGGCGACGGCCAGACTATGACAAATGAATTTGCTCATTACAAAGAGACAAATGTCTACGTTAAAAAATGATCTCCGAACTATTCCGAAATGGTCTGCTGCAAATTGGTGAAGGCCCCCCCCCAAAGACCTCCACAAGAGACCTGGCAAGGGGATCTTGAACAAGTCAGACTCGGAGAAGTCGGTCTTGTGCCACTTGCAATGTTTTGTGAAGCATTTCACCTGCTAGTATCAGCACCCGGGGGTATCAAATCTGTTCGTAATTGTGTTGCCTTTGGGCCGCTGCAGTTTCACCTGCATGTCGTTGTCGCTAACCTGAAACCTGTCGCGAGTCCACGTCAACAGCCTTCTTCCCTCGCCGTACTATTAACACCCGACCTAATTCGACGCAGAAAATGGTCCGCGAAGCTCCTCGTCCACTGCCAACCGTCGCTTTCTGACGGCCTATGTCCAAGGTCCTTCTCCAAGCCTGTCCCCCAGCTGTCTCCACTCCAAGCCCACTGGTCACTGAAGTCGCATCTCAACCAAACGTTGCTTTTTGGCCCGTGCAAAGCATGCATCCAAGGTCCTGCTCTGAAGCCACGTCGACCGCCTTTTGAGCGGCTTCCCTCGCCAAGCTATTAACGTCTCTGTTGCTAACGAGAACAAGTGTCGACCACACTGCAAGAGCCGTGCTCTGACGAGTGGAGAGGGACTGAACTTGCTCTGTTTTGGCTTGCGCAAATCTCGCCGCTTCTGTGGACACACCTGGTTAGCCTGCTCAGCTCCCTCACTGTGGGATGACCTCTTTTCTTGCATTTCCTGTCACATAGTCCTCCCTTTCCTGTCCCCTACCCGAAGTCCCACCCCTTGTCGACAGACTGCCCAAATAGTCTCCTGAGCCCTTCGTGATGCTAATGATGCACTCCTCGGCGTCCATTGCGTCACCCGCATCACTAGACCATCACTTTTCACAACTTTCCGCGCCACCTCTCTTTTTCACTCTCCCCCACCAGGCTCTGGGTTCACCCTACCCGGCCGGGCCCACTTTGCACCCCCCCACACCCCCTATAGCCCATCAACAACTCCAGCCTAGCGTATCTGCTGGCTTTCGTAAAAACGTGGTCGACAACACTCATTCTAGATTGTCGGTAGCAAGGGATCTACGGGCAAGCCGGCGGCGGAAGTTTCCCAATTTGACCTACTATAGGAGTGTCCCTTCGCACGTGCCCTGCGGACCCCCTTTTTTCCGGCCCGCAACGATGGCGTCATGCAAGCAGCCCACAACGGCGTACTCGCAAGAAATAGGTGAAAACTCTAACTCTGTTTACAAACTGTTACAATGCAGGGACGATTCGAACATGATCCGAGCATGACACGAGGCCGTTCCGCAACCGTCGTTCAGCAGAGCTTGACTTGCCAGATTCGGAGCCACCCTTTGTATTGAAAAATACAATATTTCGCGCGTCCGCTATCTCTCGAAAACGCATTTTGTGCGAGACTTCCTTCCAAAATGTAACTGGAAGACATGATCCAACCAGACATGAAAGTGCCATTTACATGGCGGGAACGATCCTGAAGTTGCAAAACACAATGAAATTCCAGCGGCAACTCATCCACCAGCAACACTCGCAGTCACATTTACAGCGCGGAAACCATCCAGGAGTTGCAACACGCAATGGAATTCCATCAACAACGCGCGCGCAAGAAACAGATGGAGAGACGTTCGAACATGATCCGAGCATGACGCGAGACCGTCCAGAAACCGTCATTCCGCAGAGCTTGACTTGCCAGGTTCGGAGCCACCCTTTGTATTGAAAAACACAACATTTCGTGCTTCCGCTTCTCTCAATCACGCACTTTGTACGAGACTTCCTTCCAAAATGCATGTTGAACACCTGCAAAACAAAGCAATTCTGCAAGACTTCCTCCCAAAATGTAATTGGAAGACATGATCCAACCAAGAAAGTGCCATTTACATTGCCGGAGCGATCCTCAAGTTCCAAAACACAATGAAATTCCAGCCACAACTCATCCACCAGCAACACTTGCAGTCACATTTACAGTGCGGAAACCATCCAGGAGTTGCAAACCGCAATGGAATTCCATCAACAGCACGCGCGCAAGAAACAGGCGAAGACTCTAGTTACAATGGAGGGACGATTCGAACATGATCCGAGCATGGCGCGAGACCGTCCGGAAACCGTCGTTCCACAGAGCTTGCCTTGCCAGGTTCGGAGCCACCCTTTGTATTGAAAAACACATGCTTCCGCTATCTCTCAAACACGCACTTTGTACGAGACTTCCTTCCAAAATGCATGTTGAACACCTGCAAAACGAAGCAATTCCGCGAGACTTTCTGCCAAAATGTAACTGGAAGACGTGATCCAACCAGACATGAAAGTGCCATTTACATTGCGGGAACGATCCTGAAGTTGCAAACAAAATGAAATTCCAGCGACAACTCATCCACCAGCAACACTTGCAGTCACGCTTAGAGTGCGGAAACGATCCAGGAGTTGCAAACCGCAATGGAATTCCATCAACAACACGCGCGCAAGAAACAGGTGAAAACTCTAGTTACAATGGAGGGACGATTCGAACATGATCCGAGCATGACGCGAGACCGCCCGAGATTTCCTTCCAAAATGCATGTTGAACACCTGCAAAACGAAGCAATTCTGCGAGACTTTCTCCTAAAATGTAACTGGAAGACATGATCCAACCAGACATGAAAGCGCCATTTACATTGTGGGAACGATCCTGAAGTTGCAAAACACAATGAAATTCCAGCGACAACTCATCCACCAGCAGCACTTGCAGTCACATTTACAGTGCGGAAACCATCCAGGAGTTGCAAAACGCAATGGAATTCCATCAACAACACGCACACAAGAAACAGGTGAAAACTCTAGTTACAATGGAGGGACGATTCGAACATGATCCGAGCATGACGCGAGACCGTCCGGAAACCGTCATTCCGCAGAGCTTGACTTGCCAGGTTCGGAGCGACCCTTTGTATTGAAAAGCACAACATTTCGTGCTTCCGCTATCTCTCAAACACGCACTTTGTACGAGACTTCCTTCTAAAATGCAGGTTGAACACCTGCAAAACGAAGCAATTCTGCAAAAATGTAACTGGAAGACATGATCCAACCAGACATGAAAGTGCCATTTACATTGCGGGAACGATCCTGAAGTTGCAAAGCACAATGAAATTCCAGCGACAACTCATCCACCAGCAACACTTGCAGTCACATTTACAGAGCGGGGAAGCCATCCAGGAGTTGCAAAACGCAATGGAATTCCATCAACAACACGCATACAAGAAACAGGTGAAAACTCTAGTTACAATGGAGGGACGATTCGAATATGATCCGAGCATGACGCGAGACCGTCCGGAAACCGTCATTCCGCAGAGCTTGACTTGCCAGGTTCGGAGCCACCCTGTGTATTGAAAAGCACAACATTTCGTGCTTCCGCTATCTCTCAAACACGCGCTTTGTACGAGACTTCCTTCCAAAATGCATGTTGAACACCTGCAAAGCCAGAGCTAGAGCTAACTAAAGCTAGAGCTGACTGGAGTTAGAGCTAACTAAAGCTAGAGCTGACTGGAGCTAAAGTGGAGCTAGAGAGCTGACTGAAACTACAGCTAACTAAAGCTGGAGCTGACTGGAGTTAGAGCTAACTAAAGCTAGAGCTGACTGGAGCTAAAGTGGAGCTAGAGAGCTGACTGAAACTAGAGCTAACTAGAGCTAGAGCTGTTGAAAGTCCGTAATACGGAAGTTTTGCACCCTAAACTTTCTTTGATCAATCAAGCTAACTTCATGCGGAAAATGGTCCCCAGAAACGACAGACCTTGGCCATGAACGCGGATTCAGGCAACAAGGTGAGCGCCCCAATCAATGCAACCGGCAGCTGTTGAACGCAACACGAACCGAAAAATACCATAGAAATGAAGGCTGAAAACAAGTCTACATATTGGTGTCACCTGACACCACAACATGTACTGAAAATAGTCCAGCCCCCGGTAACATAGAGACTACAAACCTTTGGAAATTCAGCTCCCATGACAAAACATGCAAAATGGGTGGCCCAAAATTGCTCTATGTTGCGGAAAAAAAGGTTGGACTGTGCGAAGATTTGCACCCTCAACCAATTTGCGCAGGAAATTGTGAGGAAGTGCGCAAACAAAAGGACGCTTATCATGCGTGTTGTTACCAGATGCGAGCAATACAATTACCACAAACTAGAACATCCTTTACAATGGGGGTGGTCCATATTGAGCTGCACTAAATCAGAGACAAACTATCTTCGTTGCTTGGGCTGCGCCCACAAAACTTGCACAAAACAAACGAGACGCAGAAGTTCCTTCCATACACGTTCCACCTGCAAAGGATGCATGCAGGCTTGCAAACTACTTTGTTTCGTTCCGTGGATGGTCATTTTGTAGAGGCTTGTTTGGTCGCACAAATGGTTCGATGTGAGTTTGTTCTACTTTTTCTGGGCAATTTGTATTTGGACAAACGAAATGGTGCGACTACGCAGCCAACAGAAGGCAGCTTGTTTTATGCGTCGCTCGGGACACATGCAATGCAGGAGCCATGACCTACAAAGCATTGTCCATGTCATTTTGTAATGCGTATTGTTCCAATACATTTTGTAGTACAGTAAAGACGTATAGTTGCTCAAGGGTGCCAAAGAACAGCTAGAGCTAGACAAGCTCTCTGAATATCAAACCCGCGGCGCAGGCGGTAGCCGGACTATCTTCTTTCACTTCGCGCCGATTCCTGAGCAATCAATTCCTGAGCAACGAAGAAAGCACCTGAACAAAGAAGAAACCACTGGTTTCAGGTTAACATGATCGCACTGCAATGCAAACAACCTACAAGTATCAGGGTTGAAAAGGAGGAATGATACGCAACCAAACAGCAGATCAGCGAGAACACTCGCCTGGGCAGTCACAAATGGAGGAGTGTTTGTGTGAACTAATGACAACACACAAGACCTGCCACAGGAATGCACAACATACCACAAAGAACAATAATTTGTTGTGTGATGAGAACAAGCTACAGGCAATACCATCTGAGACGTGCTGCAACAATTGCGATGTAGCACAAGGGACATCTTTTTGATGAAGCGTGCTTTACACGGCGGATGCGTTTGAACATGAAATCAGAATTGGATGACCTCAGACACGACTCGAACAAAACTTCAAAAGGACTGACTTGGTAAGCCTTCTGCCCACAAAGGAGTGGAGGGGGGTGTCCAACGGGAGGGAAGGGGCGGGGTCTCTATTCAAGACACAATTTCATGCACTTACTGCGTCTGGGAGGGAGGCCATCGCTAGTAGGTTGGAGGCCATTGCTGCTAGGATGGAGGCCATTGCTATCACAGTAGGTTGCTATATACTTTCTTTTTGTTTCCTTTTTGTTGTTATTTTCCATTAAGACGTTGCCGCCCCATGGAACTTTGTGTACATACTGCTGCAACGCAGCAGTTTGAGAAGTTTGCAATGTTTGTTCAAAGGACGTGCGTCAAACGACTCACTTACGAGTCAAACATGATATGATTGTTTCAGAGGGCAAACAAGTACACCAGCAAGCTTCCAACTACACTTAGAGGGTCGTGACAACGAAAGTCCTTGGGCGTCCCATCATATGTAATCGTCATGTGTATTTTGAGTATTGCAACTAGAACTTTGTAACTTGAAGCTTGGAAGCTGTCAAAAGCATTGAAACCAACTTGGCGCGCCTGTCCTGCACCCCACGCTACAACTGAAGGTGCCCCAGCAAATCTTCCAAAGACACCCAGTCTTGCCAAAGTTTCCAAATAGCCTGCGATGACTGTCATTGATTTCAGGCCCTAGCAAACCTATGCCGCATTAACAACTACAGAGCAAGTTCAAGTTGCCGATGTCCGTTTGAACTGGAAGCAGCCAGGCCTGTGACAACCTTGCAGCAAAAAACGTGAGATTGCGTGGCAAGTGTGGCTCGGTACAATACTTTTTTGCTTTGTGGAACCTTTGCAAGCCACAGGCCACCCCAAAGCACTAGCGCGCCAAGCATAGCACTTCGCATCCTGCAACCATGTATGGCCAAAAACAGAATGACTCCGTGGAGCCCTGGCGACAGAAAGAATGGAAACAAATTTGTCCCATCACCAAAAGCTGTCGCTCTCTTTTCAGCCTCATGTCACTGGTCTGCAGAGTCTGCACCGCGTCATTAATCAAATCCTGCCTTCCAAGTCAGCTTTCAAATCAAATCCCGAAAAACAACTCCACCCAGCCTTCCGAATTCTTGGAGTCTTGTTCTCCAGCTTGATGTAGTTTTCTGCTTGGAGGTGATGCCTGCGAAGGACCTCCTCAAAAGGAACGAAACACATAAAAAAACATTGTGCTTTGCAAAGGCTTGCAGCACAATACAAAAAACATCCCAGTTACTGTGTGTGTATATATATATATAAATATAAATTCATATACTTGTCAATTTCAACGCTTTCAAGGTCACAGCGAACCAGCACCTCAACGAAGGACTGATGTCATCAGCCGAGACAAACGATTGGGAAGCAGCCACTGCAAAAGCTGCGACGACAACTCTGGTGGCTGCCCAACGCAGCTTCATCTGCGCTGTCGACGGCATGAAGCACCCTTGCACTAGTTTCTCTTCGCTTCAATACCTTTTGGAACTCTACTTTATGATGGGTGCAAATGAGCATTGGAGGAGTTACCTTGCAGGTTTGAGCCACCGGATCTTTAATTTCTTGCACATGCCACGATGACCGTTGCTATGCACGGCAGGCTGACATCAGGATCTAAACGCTTGGGTCGAGACATCTTCATAAAGGATAACTCGTAACCTCTGCTGACTAAGTGTGTCTGAAACTCAAAAGTGGGCACTGAATTGCGCAGCAAGAATTATGCTATGCCGCATATGTTCACAAGTAGTCAACCTGTGTTTCAGAGAAGACTTGGTCACAGCTGCTAGGGCACTGCTAAGGATAGCACTTTCCTGCGTGGTGGATGCATCAATAGTGCAAACTGGAATTTCGTTCAATGCCTGTGGCACCCGCTGCTTCTGCCACCAAACAATCCAACATATAAACAGCCACTTATCAACACCCCAAACCCTTCCTCAAGTTGAGCAATAGGCAATTGTGAAAGAAACACCTTTGCTTGGCTTAGGGTCCCAGGCCCACTTTGGACAAATGTTGAAGGCCATTCACGGATAGCCCACACAGCATTTTCTTGTTCGCCCCCCTTTCCGTACCTTGTTAGTTAGGATGAACTCTTGGAACAAAAACATTTGAACACATGTCCGGTCTGGCTAATCAACCCCATGTGAGGTTGTATCAACCCCATAATGATTTTCCGCAGTGCCCCTTTTCTATGCCAACATTCCATGCTATCATGTTCCAATTCGATTTTTTTTGTGCTGTGCTTCATGCAAGAACGGTGTTGTGTGATCAATACCATGGAGGCCATGTGTGTGTGTGTGTGAGACAGCAGCGCGTGTTTGTATGTTGTCAAAGGGCCAAGGGAAATTTGTTTAGCAGAGAATCATGGAAGCACTCCGCATCACTTGTGTGTAGAATGAAGAACGATAAAGTGCGGGTAGAACTTTGAAGAAATTGATTTCTAGGCATGCGACCATTCTGCAAACGAATGCCAACGAAGCCATGCATAGTGGTGGAAGCAGGACTTGATCACTCCCGTGCATTTGCTTAACATGAGTTTCTGCCATAGTGTGTGTGACACCCTTGGAACCACAGGGATTCCGGTTGAATTTGTTCTTACTTTTTGCCTTGCATTGGTTTTAACCTGTACTTTGGTAGACTCTTTATCGCAGGGGACACCTGTGGAGCAGAGATAGGGCAGGTGCCAACGAAGACACCTATCTCTTGCTTGTGATATCGATGGGAGACGTCCTGTCGACGTACCTGCAATGATTACCATTCATTTCCTCTTGGGCCCGTTGTACCCGCAACAAATTTACCAGCCTTTGCATCGGTTCTGCATTCTGCAGTTGCGAGCGAACGTCGTCATCCTGTCGCGGCCTCTCGGTTTTCAAGTTCGTGGACTTTGGAGGTTTTTAAACTTACCTGGGCCCTTAGGCGTTTTACTTAGGCTGGCGTGCGGCAAACCGCAATTGTGCCAGTATGCATTATCTTGAGTACGCCTGGCCCTATGCCAGCCCAGGGTGTGGCCCCGTTGAACGGGGGTTTGTCTAACGATTCCATTGCCCGGAACCAGAGCAGCTCGCAGCGAGCGTAGGAGGCGGCTTGTGCCAAAGTTATTTGCTAAGACCTGCGAATTATTGCATTTCAGTAGGTAGCCCTAGGGCTGCGTGGCTCCAAAAGGAGCCTTCTCCCGTCGACTCTCTCCTTACATCGAGAACTCCTTCACGTCACGTACTTGGCATTTTGGAAATGACCGTTGCGCTTCTGCGCTTTCGCTTTGCTATTGCCTCCTCCGTCTTTTTGGGCCAGATCACCGCACCCCATGTCTTGACCCAACTCCGTGATTTGGACTCCGCTCTCCTTTAGTTTACTCAAGCCGTTGATACTGCCACGCTCAAGAACTTCTCACCACGCTCGGGATGACGCATATCCTCACGCCTGGCCCTGAACAACTCGGCGCTGAACTACAAGGGCAGACTTCGATCCCTGACCCTCAACTACCACCGCTGGACACTTCCTCACCTTCGAGGGCTTTCTCTGTTCGCCCTCCACCCTGGGCCTCGCCGCTGGCCTCTTCGTGGCCGACGAACTACAACCGGTCCGGAGCCTCTTCGTCTCGAACGCGCTCTCGCTCTCGCACGACGTTTTGACCAACTCCTTGATTTGTTTCACCCTCACCATCGTTTCTTGACTTCATCTTGATAAAAAGGCTCCTCTTCCTTGTCTATAATCCCTTTCGACCCATGTTCGGATTTGCAACATGTTTGGGTGTCCCTTCTTCTCCTTTTGGTTCAAGCTGATTTCCCCACCATGTACTGCCTTTCTACATATACGCTGACACTACGCACCCTCTCTTTTCTCAGGTAACCTTCCGATCTAGCACGGTCATGTTACTTGGGATTTGTCCTTTACTATTTTACCATTTGGTTTGCTTCCTTGACTTCCTCAGATTCAGCTGGACGCTCTTGCCGGGATTGCTGCCGCGCCGCCTCTCGCTCTTGCGATCTTGAAGAAGAAGCAGATTGGGGAGGTGATGACAACCAAGCGGATGCGCCCCCACCCCCGGCTCCAACACCTCCACGCGCCACTACCACCATGTGCACACAACATCCGTCCTCCTCCTGCACCCACACGCGCTCCACAACACTTTCACCAGCGTCTTCAATCTCTACGTGGCCAACACCACGACCCCATACCTCTTCCCTGCCAAGCAAATCACACCGGCAGAGCGGCGGCGACCCAGGGACGCCAGGGCGTACACCCGACCCCTTGGAGAGCACCAAGTACCGCGGCACCGCGCCTGCCACGCAAATCACACGAGGACGAGGAGGAGGAGGAGGAGGACAAGGACGAGTCTCACCTCTTTCCCCTGCTGCCTCGCACTGAAGCCCCTGCTGGGTCGCTATTGGGCGTAAGCCCCTCAAATCAATTGTTACAATTTTGAACGCAAGCTTTGTTCATCCCGCTTCAAAAAGATGTCTCGATTGAACATTAACGTTTGTTAAGTTCGTCAACTGCCCTCATCAATTTCTGCGATTGGGGTTCCCCGGTGTGCTTTGGGATGGTAACTGCATTGGAAACGTTCCACAAGATTGCGAACTGCAGTGACACGGTGACGCAAGAGTTCTTGCAAGTAAGTAGAGAAGAGATTGTGGAGAAGGGTTTTAGAAAACAATCGCAGCAGCACACTTCAAGACTTCGCAAGCCACCACATTGCCAAACACCATGTCACCACTCAACACCAGGTTGTATAAAACATCACACAACCGCCTTGCAGTACGTCTCACTCACCACATCACAATTACACAACAAGCTTCCCCCATCATGCAGCAGCGAAGTTCACTGCGCAGCTTGTCGTACTTTGAAGGTGGGCAAGCCTTCAAACTTCAAGCGATGACCCGTCAGTTTCGCTAGGCTTGTGCTGTGTTTTGGTTTGACTGGTCTGCCAGCTTTGGCCTGCGGGGCGCAGTCACCACCGAGCATTCAACAAGAGTCACGATAGAAAAGACAAGAACGGAAGGGAGACCTTGTCAACTCTGGTACACCCACATTGCTCGTGACAAAGCTTGGTGTCAAGTCATATACCAGCATGCCTGACATTGTAGCTGCCTATTCTCATAGCGCTGCACTGTCTGCAAGGCTGAAACCTTGGAACTTCAGTCATTTGTCCAGAGTCTGACGCATCCCAGCTCTCAGCGACTCGATTCTTCCCTTCTCCGTTTCTCCAATTCATCAACACAAAAAGCTCTGATTGTAAGTGTGTGGCCTGATTCTGCAGCTTTGGGGGAAGGGAGCTAAGCTTGGCCTGAAGCATGGCCTCAAGTTCAAGTTTCGACGGTCCGCAATTTCAATCATCTTTGGGTACGGGCCAAATACTGCTCCTGCAACATAACATTCGCATTGCTCTTGACCTGGAAGTAGTTTGCGTCGGGAAGCCATGTGAAAATGTTGCTTCATTGCATGCGGCATCGCCTCACTGGCAGCCTCGAACGGATCTCCTGCGCTGAAGTTTCCCAACACCACCTAAGGCTGCTTTCTACTACTTCTTCGATGTTGATTTGAGCTGACATGATTGAAATCCATGCTTTTGATTTATCCAAATGCTGCTGGCAGTCTCACAGAATTCTGAGATCAGCGGCAATTGTTGGCAGCTGGTCCGCTGCACCAGCCTTGCATTGAGTTCGCAGACTATTGAACGTTCACAACCGAGGCAATGAGCCGGTCATGCGGCAGTCTCATACTTGGACGTTCTGCCTCCGACGCCAGCAGCACATCTGCACGTAGCGAACAATGACTCTTGTAACCTGAAAATACGCAGTCAACCACTGCAAAGATTTGTTTCAACAAACACTTCAAACGAGGGAAAAACTTAGACAAAAATGCATCTGCAGAAAACCGTGTTGGAAAAACACCGTTGTAAACAGAGCTGGAAAACTGAGAAAATTCTAGAGCGGCAATATCTTCTAAGGTGTTCAGAATGGTTTTACCTGGATGGCATAAGGTGTGTACCTGTTCAACAGAATTATCTTACCAGCTTACCGGAGAAGTGCGGTGATGTCATTATTGGAGAGGCTGGTCTGGAGCTTCTTCGCATCTCCGCTCATCAGCCGCATACACTAATCCGCTATCATTCCGCTTCCTTCCATTTTTGCCTCGACTCTCTATAAACACAAAAACTTCACATGTGGGGTTATCCGGTCCTTGAATCAAAGGGTGTGGCCGCACAAGAGTTTCAACATATTGTTGTGGTTGTTTTGTTTTGCTGACACGTTTGCTTTGAAATTTACTTTCGTGTACAAACACGCAAGTAATTTGGCCTACGTTTTAGCAAAATGCACACCCACTACAGGTGTTACTTCCAGTGTTTTGATTTTGGTTTTTTCTGCTTGATGCAAATGAAATTCCCGTGAGGCGCCTGTTTTCAAGGGTGTAAAGGATTTCACCGGATTGCGGAAGGGCCGAAAACTTCCAAAAATATTAACGGTTCCAAACTTCACGATGAAATGCACGTTGCGCTACGCCCAATCTCAGGCTTGTGCTCGACGGTTCCACTCGCACAAACCGTGTTTTGCAGGAGCCTTGACTCTTTTGCAAATCACAGGTCTTCAATAACAAACCTTTTTAAGCGCAGCGCAGTGAAAAACAGCGCGTGATAAGCTGAGAAACGTTGGCCTTGGTTGACAAACCCAAATCAGTTGAGGCGTTCTCAACACTCCGCTCGCCCATAGACCTCAAGTCACTTAGTAGCGAGCCCGTCAAACTCTCGCCCATCATCAACCAACTGCCATGTTCCATCCTTCGCCAAGACGTGGTGGACGCCGCTCTTTTGAGCTGTTTACTCGTCTAGAAAGTGAGAAGCAAGCGCCAGATACAATGTCAGCTAAGCCTCCCTCCCTCCCTCCCTCCCTCCCTCCCTCCCTCTCAAAAATGCTAGTGCCACGCGTTGGGTTTGAGGTCAAGGGCCTTGTTGCTGTCAGCTATCCCATCGGTAGTGTTGAAAGTGTTGTTTGACAGCGTCGCTCAGTCTCTACACTGCCAAACAAACTGTTGAACCCTGTGCAACTATCGGACGCGCCAACGAAACCTTAAGAGCTTGCAAGCGCTCAATCCGCTTGCCCACTTTGTTGACAATGTCGCAGAAAAGGATTGGATGTCTCCGTCTCAGCCCTCGATCCGCCAGTCTGTTGGCCATCTTCGAAATCCATCGCTTACGCAGTCCAGTCATCCACGAGCTCTAGAAGAATACGCTCCGTGGCTGCTTCTTCTGGGTCATCGCGCGTAGTTGTAGTTATCTCTTCGCCTCTCTTCGTGGTCATTGTTAATTGTTACGTTCTGTATTCGTGTTCGCGCGGTCGGTGGTTTCATGCAGGGCCTCTCCAAAGGCGCTCGTGCTTCTGTAGTCCGCTGTTGCTGTGCTGTGCTTCCTTCAGCGATTTCTCCCGTCGTTTCCCGCTTGGATGATGGGAGCGGTAGCGCTGGCCTCGAATGCTGTGATGTGGGAGACGTTGCCATGGAGAGTCCAAAAGGTGCGCTCTGGACGTTGTATAGCTTCTGGCCCTGCAGCGCGCGGTGGCTCGCGCCTGGGCTCCGGCGGTTGCCGTGCTTGCTCCGGCGCGTTTTTGTAGCGCAAATGGTATGACCTGCGGCGCCGTCTGGAGTGCAGTTGTTGGATTCCAAGGTCTGTTCCCAATAGAATCCATGAGTTGCTGCTCTGGCTCGGCTTGTCGTCAAACAGTTCGCGCTCTGGCAATCTTGTTAGGTATGCCAATGACCGAGTCGCTTGTTGATGTATCTTTCAAAGAACCTTGGCTCGAGTTTGGGGAGTCCCTTAACTGTTGGGTCCATGTATTGCACTGCTTCCCCAAACTCAGAGTGGTGCTTTTCTTTCCCGTGGCCATCTGCGGAAGTAGCTTGTGTTGCCATTGCAGTGGAGTGGATCGCGTGCCTTGTGAGAAGGTACACTGCGTGGCGGACACGCCATGGCATGGCTGGGCGCTGGCTTGTAAGGTGCATGTTATAGTTGTTCTGTAATTGCGTTTAAGTTTTGAGTGTTCTCATAGGTGTCCTGTGGAATCACTCCACGCTGCCTTTTGGTTGTGAGCTGTGCGCTGATGCCCGTCGAACCGAGACGTTGCTGCCAAGCGAGACTGCTGTTGCTTTGAGTAGCGGAAGTCTTCCTGATCTAACTGAAGTAGGTGTTGGCTAGTATCAAATCGCGTGTGATCTGCTGCGTTCCAATAGGCAATTGTGTAAACAATGGGTCAAGCACTTGAACTGTTGTTGTTTGTCCGTGACCAGGGCTGCCATTCTCACGCCTGTCTCCGCGTCTATTGGTGTTGCTGTCTTTCTGCGCTCACTTTCATGTAAGCAAGGTCCACTTGTATAAAATTTGCTGGCGTGCTTCGCCGTAGAGCAAATGTCCGCTTTGCCTGTGCTGGCAACGCGTGTTGGGCACCAAGTGCGGTGTGGAAGGTGTGTGAGAGATTGCGTTCCGCTCGTTCTGGCAGTGTCGGTTGCTTAGGAGGTGTCGCTCCTCTTGCTGATTTCGCCGCCTGCAGTTCGTCATTTTCTGTATCTAAGCACTCCTCATATTCTGCTTGTTCCTCGAAGTTTGTTGAGCCGTCCACGGTGTGTCAAGTGCTTTCTGTTGTCCGTGTTCCCGCTCGTCTGTTGCCCTGCGTTGGTTTCGCAAAGGTTTGTCTCCACGATGTCAATCTCGAATGTGTCTGGGCCGCCTGGCCTTTGCTGTGGTGCGCGCATGCTGGTTCTGGGGTGAACGTTTTGAGAAGCGCTGGTTGCGTTGGCCGGTACGGTGGCTTGGACATGTCTGGACGCGGTGGTCGTGGTTGTGTGAGCTGTTGCTCCAGGCTTTGGCTTGAACCATGTTTCTCAAGCGCAGGCCTTGCCTTTGAGCCCTCTGCGTTGCTGGCGATTGCTGAGGCTTTGGTATTCCTCCGTGAAGCCCTCGTCGTCGTCTCCGTGTAGTATTATCTGCCCGTAGTACTCCAACGTTTGCAACAGTGTTGACATCGGGTGTGAAGAGCGCCTGGCGCGTTCGATTGTGTACCCTGACCAAATATGTTCCGGACCATGTTGTCGGGAAGTGGCACGACCGGCGCGACCCATGTTGGAAGGAAGTAAAGTCCATCCTTCTGCCTCAATGTTGCGGCGGTGAAGCCTTTGCTGCGCGTGATTTTGTTGGGTTGTCGTTGAGATTGAGACTGATGTGAAAGCTTTGTTCCGCCAGCCGCCAGAATGGGCTGTTGAACATCACACTCGTGGAGGGGGAGGATGATGTTATCATCCGTCACTGTTCTGAGTCGAGGACCTTCTCCACGTTGAAGTGGATCAAACCAGAGTGGGCAGACAGGCGTTGCTGCTCCACTGTCAACCATCACGTCGACGGCACCGTCTTGTTGTTCTTGCTGGTGTGCTCGTTTGCGCTGTTGGTCGTCCTGTGCTCCTTGTTCGTTCACTGCCGCCACGACAAGTTCCACGCCAGAGACCGGGTTGTCCGTCTGCTGCGCCGTTGGTGCTGGTAGTGCCAGTTGTGGGGTTTGTGGTGCTGCTGCTGCTGCTGCTGCTGCAGATGCGTCATAGTAGTGCCACCAAGTCGGGTCATAGCGCTGCTGCTGTTTGTACCTGTAGTCTGTTGCGTCTGCCTGTTGATCGTGTGCTGTCCCATGTGTTGAGATTGTAGACTGGAACTCTGCAATCTCGTGCTATGTGTCCTTGCTGTCCACATCTGTAACAACCCTGCGTTGACTTACGTTGTCCTTTCCTTTGCCGCCTTTCCTTTTCCTTTGTGACGCCGACTCCTGTGCTGCATAGTTGTTGTGCCCTTTGTTACCGTAGCCTCTTCTCGGTTTTCTTTACCTTTTCCTTTGCTCCGCGCGCCTTTATATTTGCCTTTGCCCTTGTTGATGGTGCCAATGTCCACCTCCATAGCTCACTGCTACGCTAGAGGAGCCTGGCTGCAGTGCCAGCTTTGTGAAAGCCGTTGTTGCTCTGTAGTATTCCATGGTTGTTGTTGTTCCGGTTTGCGCATAGGTTGTGATTGTGTCTGCCAGAAGTTGGAGATGTTGTTGTAGAGTTCCCATGGTTTCTTGCAGTAGTGCTGCCTTTTTTGATTGTGTCTGGTAGTGCTCTCGTTCGAAGCTGGCGAGTTCGAACTCCCGTGTTGTGAAGGACTCTTCGGAGTTGTAGTAGTAGTAGTAGTAGTAGTTGTTGTTGTTGTGGTTGTTGGTTGTTGGTTGTTTGTTGTTTGTCGATTGTTGTTTGTTGTTTGTTGTTGGTGGTTGGTTGGTTGTTGTTGTTGTTGTTGTTGTTGGTTGTTGGTTGTTGGTTGTTTGTCGATTGTTGTTTGTTGTTGGTTGTTGTTGTTGTTGGTGGTGGTTGGTTGTTGTTGTTGTTGTTGTTGTTGTTGTTGTTGTTGGTTGTTGTTAAGCCCCTTTGTGACTCAAGGATGCTGAGGATCATCCACTCGATGCTTCGTCCGTGATTCACGTGCATGCAGTGGATAGCCGTGTGCGCAGTGCTGCTTGCACTCCTGCGGCTGTTGCAGCTGCCGGTTGAACAGTCACCTGGAGAAGCTCTGAGGTATTCCTGCCACTGCCCCACTGACGCAACTTTGGATAGGAGGGTGTGCACCTTGATCCCCACTTGCTTTCTTGTTTATTCACAATCGTGGTCCCAAGTCCACGAACTGGGTGGTTGTGATTTGATCTCACGAGTTGGGCATTTCATTCCCAGTAGGGGTGAGGGTTGGGTGAGGGCCATGACTTACCCGAGAGCAGAGGGCATTGATCATTCGATTGACGATCATAGAGACTCTGCGAAAATGCATGGCTTCGGGCCGGCTAGTTGGGGAGCCTTCAAAGGCTTACATCCCCGATTGAAGCGCAGCTTTCGTCGTGCCAAAACTAGAGCTATTCGTAATGGGTACTGTTGGTATCGAGGTAAGCTTCTTGATCGCACGCACCTCAATGTTTCTCCTGTGCCGGAGCTGCCTGACGCCCCTGTCCGATCCAGACCTTCGCGACCGTCACAACCTGATCTCAGGACACGTGTTCATACAACTGCTTGGAATAGCACTGGCCTGGCTTCCTGGAAACTGGATGAGCTCAGATGCTGGCTGGCTGACCAACCTTTCCAAGTTGTGCTCCTTACTGAGACACGCTGGCAACATGATCGTGAATGGACTGAAGACGGCTGGACACACATAGCATGCAGTGGAGATCCCTATAGATCATGTGGGACGCTCTTCATGATTCGTGCCACGTTGTGTCAACCGAGTCAGATCAGCTGGAAGTCTGTCATCCCGGGTCGTATTGTTCATGTACGCCTGTATCTTGCTAGGCCTCTTGATTTGATAGGATGCTATCAACATGTCTTTGTGAATCGATACTCATGTAAGCAGAACAGACTTCTCTGGGTTCGAACTCTTGACAATCTCCTTCATGAGCTTCCTAAGAGGAACAACCTAATTCTGTTTGGAGATTGGAACTGTGGTCTTCCCAAATCCCTGCCACATGTAGGTACCTCCGACTTTCTGAGTTCGTATGGCCGTCAATCGGTCTCGCTTCATGAGGACTGGAATAAGCATCTTGATCTTGTTCGCTCACATGACCTGTGCGCCATCAATACATGGCGCCATGACACAGGACCCACATGTCAAACGGCAAAGGGTGACTTCTCCCGCATAGATTACATTTTTGTTCGTATGCGGCAAGCTGATCGGGAAGCCAAGGAATGCACGCCATTGGAATCCTTTGATCTTCTTGGTCCGCCTAAGAT